TGCGGTCCCAGTTCCGTCAATCATTTACGTGCCTCTTATGCAGTCCCTTCTTATTTTTACCTTGCTTTCCTTTCTCCTCCCCTTTATTTCTTATAGTCTCCCTTTCATTAAACTTTGCTTCTGCCTTTTTTGGTATCTTCCTTTTTCCCAATACTTTTTTCCAACAAGGTCTCCTAGCCTTCCGTTCCTGATTAAAATCTACTTTCTGGATCTCTCACCTATAGTTCCCCCTCTAGATAGAAGGAATATACCTCTCCATCCCACCGAAGTCAGGTGTAGTCACATGACTTGCTTTGGTCAATGAAACAGAGGCAGAAGTGATGTGTGTGACACCAGGAAGATGTTTTAAGAACCAAGCACAGTAAAAATTTTTTTAAAAAATTTTTTTAAAAAGAACCAAGCACAGTTTTCCATACCTCTCTTTTGTCTTCAGGCTCGGCACCTATAGCACAGTAGTTATGGCCCCAGTCACATACACTGAAGCTGGCAGGTTTGAACCCAGCCCAGGCAAGCTAAACAACAATGACAAAATGCAACAGAAAAATCACCAGGCATTGTGGCAGGCACCTGTAGTCCCAGCTACTTGGGAGGCTGAGTCAAGAGAATCACTTATGCCCAAGAGATTGAAGCTGCTGTGAGCTGTGACACCATGGCACTCTAACAAGGGCAACATAGTGAGACTCTGCCTCAAGAGAAAAAAAAGAAAAGAAAAGTGCTTCATCAGTTGAATTCCTGAGTGAAGATGTGCAAAAATATTACAATTCCAACAGACCTGCAATAACATGTGGACAAATGAGAAGAATAAATCTGTTGTTGTAAGTACCTGAGAGTTTAGGATTGTTTGTCACTGTAGCAAAACCTGGCCTCATAAATACTCTCTAAACTTCAGTAGGAAAATCTTCCAGATCTCCTTTTTATTTAGTGAATGAAAACCAAACTGCTTAGCCTGACGTCTAAAATTCACCAACTCCTAACCAACCTACCTTTCTTCTTTTATTTTTACTTCTTTTGCTTCAAAGGTTATTATTAGAAAAATCACAATTAATTACATTAGCCACATTAAATTTAGCAAAATATTGTGCAGATTTTGCTACTCTCTTACTTGCTTTCTATGTGCAAGTCTCTACCTAAGACCTAACAGAGGGTGTAACTTAGTCCTTAGAAGGGCTGGGCTGGGAGAGGATGGCCCACCTCCTACAGCAGTCCATGGTCAGAAACTGACCCAGTGGGTTGCTAAACAAGATAGTTGAGGGATCCAGAGGGGTCCAGTGACAGGCCTTGAGGGTGGTAACACAGGCAGAGGTCAGTAACACAGCCATAATTGAGCACTAAAAATGGGTCCTGAAAAACATAAATATCAAGGTTCAAAAAACATAATGAGGAAAAAATAGTGGAGTGTTACAGACTAAACTGTCTCCCCCACAAATTCATATGATAGAGCCCTAATTCCCACTATGACTAGACATGGAGAGGGCTGGATATGGACTAGAGGGGGCCTTTAAAGAGGTATTAAGGTTAAATAAGTCATACGGGCAAGGCTCTGATCTAATAGGACTGGAGTTTTTATAAAAAGAGGAAGAAGCACCAGGAGCCCATATGCACAGGGACAAAGCATGTGAGCACACAGAGAAAGACAGGCTTCTGCTGCCTAGAAAGAGGTCTCGGGAGAAACGTAGCCTGCCCTCACCTTGATCTTGGACGCCAGAGAAAACAAATCTGTTGTTTAAGCCACCCAGCCTGTGGTACTTGGTTACAGCAGTCCTAGAAAACCAATACACTAGGTGAGAAGGAAGAGAGTCCCCTGGGCCGGCCTCAGCCAAGATCATTATAGACTTTCTGTTTTCACTGCAGCCTCCCTTCACCCTTTCTCACCTCCTTCCTCTACTCCAAGGGAACCACGTGCCGCCTCTGACAGGCAGCGGGTGCCTTGTCTCTCAGACTCCTAACGGGCAGCAACTATGATATTTCACTCGTGCTACACAGAGACTTGTGTGTGTCCAACAAAGAGGCTCATTCTATACTTGAGGATGGACGAACGTGCCCTCTGGTCCTTCTCCTGAATTAGGAGTTTTTAACATTACAGAATCCCCGACTGGGTGGGGAGGAGGGGGGTCCTCATTGGGTTTTAGGAGCTTATGCACAGCTTTTGCTGGATTCTCGAACAGAATCCTCACACTGAAAAGTTAAAAAACTTTCTCCAGCTTCCACGCTGACGTTTGTCGGGTCCTCTGCCCAACGCTGACGTTGTGTGGGTTAGCTCATGTACAGTAATGTGATAAGCTCTTTGTCACAGTTCTCCCATCACATTGGGACATTGCATAAGTTTTCTAAATCTGATCTATCGCTCCATCTGTTAGGTGGGTATTGTTGTAGGTTTAACATCCTCAGCAATATGAGCTATAAACTATTTTAGAAATGACAGCTTCAGAAACAATAAGAGTCTGGATATCTGCCAGTGAACATTCCCAAAATAAAGCCATACTTCAAAGACTTTGTGACTTCAAGGACCTTTTATTTATTTTTTAAATTCGTTTTTCTATCTCATCCTGTTATTCGACACACAGTGAGTCTTTTCAATCATGTTAAAAATGAATAAGACATCCGACAAAACTAAGAATCAAAATTCTCAAGCTTTGCCACTGGCAGATGAATTCTCTGGGTATCTATTCACATTTAAGGGATGAATCCAGTTTGCTTTAACCAAATTATTTTTTATGCTAATACAGATTTCTATAAGAAATTTTATCTTTATCCTTTCATTAAAAAAACATCCATTTCAAGCATGAGGGAAAAAAATTTTAATTAGTCAAATATTTTTTCCAGAACCCTGCAGCTAAAACTTTTTCTACTTTCTCTTGAATTGATGCAACTCCCTAAACTCAATCTCACAAAGCCATCTCAAAAAATGCAGAATGCTGCTTAGAATAAGAAGTCAATATTTTGGATCCCCTAGAAAATTCCCTTTAGTCAATCAGAGCCAAATCTTCAGAAATGCTTTTCCTACATACCCTGCAATGGTCCTACCCCTGCCACGCCCCTCAGGGGACTTGGAGAGAAGGCGACTGTGTTTTCCTCGCTTCTAAGACCAGATGCGCGTGGGGGTGGGAGGGGAAGCGCAGCCAGACCCAGCCCACCCTCTCAGCCTTCCTCTAAGGAGCCTGCTCACATGCTAGATCTTGGCTAAGAAAAAACATCCCATTGTCTGAGGCAAAAGAACATCACATCCTTCCAGCCCACCCCTGGAAAGGCAGTTTGGAGCAAGTCAGCCTGATTATAGGGATGTGAACCGGTTCCCAGCTGCACTGTGACTTGTTTTTGGTTCCTAGGCAAATTGCCCAGTTTCCTCTGCTCCCAAATTTCCCCAACTGCAAAATAGAGATAATTCTCATTACCTTTCTTTTGCAACATACTGAAAAGAAATAGGGCAAATGCTTCTAATGCGCTTTGGGAGATCTGGCAGAGGGCATATTTGCCTTGAACTCCATGGAAGTTTTGTTTATTTTTGCTTTATTGTATTTTGATGAGTTTCTTTTGCTGTTGGCCAGACTGGCATACATTTAGAAAAATCTAAATTCAATTCAATTACAACCACGCATCTCATGTTAGTGGAGCATTTCCAGTGTGCGAGGCACCGGGAGAATACAGAGGGGCACGTGCCTACCATCGGGGGACTTACAACTTGCTCAGAAACAGTCTTATAGTTATAGTATATATATTATACAGACGCACACATTTATATAAAATAGAGGTATCAGAATGAGTGACACAAGTGTGGCTCAGGCAGCTGCTTTAGAACCTACTCTGCAAGTTACAGTCGGAGACCCTAGAAAAACCACACAGCTTTACTAAACTTCAGTTTCCTCTTATGCAAACCTTTACTGAGTGCCCAGTAGGGCAGGGGGCATTCTACGCAGTTTACTTGCTTGAAACTCAGAAAGACCGCCTGAGATAGATACTATAATCTGTCCATAGATACTATTCTCTTTCCATATTTGTATTCCTCTCTTACAGATAAGGACCCTGAGATCATATAACTTGTTCCAGGTCATACACTTAGGGGAACAGGATGCAAACCCGGTGCTTGGCCTCAAATTCTGCAGACTTGGCCATTATCTGACATTACCCCTCAGATGGGGACACAGCAAAACTTAGACTTGTGAGGATCAAGTGACATAAAAAGCTGTGAGCCTGGTGTCTGACACATAATAAATGTGCAATAACTGTAGACATAGCTGCAGAAGAGATGAGACACGTATATAAATAACCATAACCCAAGTCAAAATAAGCGCAGCCTTCTAGGCTATTTCACCAACCATCATAACCAGGGGGTCGCAGAGGGGAGCTGTGTTGGGCGGGGACACTCCATCAACAGCAACATTTCTGAACAAGGAGTGAGGCTCCTACATACGTGTCTTTCTCAGCTCATTCTCAGAAGGTTAAAGTAGCTGAAGTCCCCTGTTATTAAAACTCAGACTGGATTTGTGAGGACTGTTTCCAGTGGAGCAAGGCAACAGTGCATCTGCACAGCTCTCCTTTCCCCCCTTTAACCCCTGCTCCCCAATTTCCCTTAGCAAGAAACAGCAGCGTGGAGTTTCTTTTCAAAGTCTTAAAATAAAAATCACCCAGAAAGGGATGCTGCTTATAAAACCTTTCAGAGTTGTTTGAAAAAGAAAAAAAAAAAAATGCAAAGAGAGCCAAGCGCGCATATTCTGGCCAAGTTATGAGAACAAGAGCTTGGGGGGAGGACTGTTAACCCCACGCACGTCAACTGCATTAGCTCTTTCCCTTTTGGTTTGCGCTGCCTGTAAAGCTCCTCGTGCCCTCAGAGAGAGGCCAGCCTGCTACAGAAATCCAGGAATCTGCAACAAAAGCAATGACAATCTGAAATACTCCCTGGTGCCAACCTCCAAATTCTCGTCTGTCACTTCAGACCATGACTAGCTGACAGAGCAGCAGAATTTCAACTCCAATAGACTTGAATGTGCTTCTGGGCAAAGAAGCAGAGCTAACCAGGAAAGGGATTTAAAGAGTTTCTCTTGGGTATTTGTCAAACTTTTATTTCCTGGCTGTGTGCAAAGAGGGGATTCCACTTCAATTCTCTACTGAGGCTCTGGGTCCAGCCACTTACCTGAAGGTAAATAAAATTTAATGCATCTACTTTATTGTCTAATTGCATTGGTTGACTGATTTGCATGATCTGATGAAGCTGTCTAATATTTGTGCCGACATAATCCAAAGCCATTTATTTACAGAGAAACCTTTTGTATGATTTACAGAAAAGCTTCTTAGTAGGGAATTTTGCCATTTGTATTTGTGCTGCCTTTTTTCCTCCAGGATTAAATACCAAGTATGAATAAATGATGATGGTTTTCGTGAAGATCAAGGACAGAAATGTGGAACTGTAGTTAGCCCGAGGGGCACGCAGACCTTAGTGAAGCCTAAATCCTGAGATGTACCTTATAGAAATATTCTGCTTAAGTATAAAATAAACCATAAAGTAATTTTAAAAAAGAAAAATTTCCCAATGAAATAATGTGTACATTTCCCATGTTTAAGTTATCTAAAGTTCTTTAATCACTACTGTAGTCCCAGTCTGTATCTAACAATACTGTAGAAATAGAATTTTCAGCTTTTTCTAAAGGTAGGAAACTCTCTCTGATAGCACCTTCTTGTTTGATTATTTCTAAGTTAATGTGATTGTAATCCCTTTCCTGACTCCCTTTTGTGGCTTTACAACTAATTATACCTTTTCTCCTGCTATCGTTGTTAAGATGCACACACAAAAATGTATAATTTCTCTAATTCTCACTGGTGCCTTATTTAGAAAAGCAAAGGGGGAGGGGAATTAAAGAGCTAAAGAGACTATGATAACTTATATTAGAAGATATTATCACTTCGGACTCTGTCTTCTAAAATAACAGCCATGCAAGTCACGCTTATTCATTCCTCCCAGGTATTAGAGGTTATTCTGCAGGAGAAAACCACGCTTTCCACTGCAGGCAACACAGTTGAAACTGTACACCAAGAGGCCCTGCAGAAAGAGTATCTCTTTTGCACTGCCTTTAATCTGCAAAGAGGTTAAATATGTCACCTTGGCATTGTATCTGAGCTCTCCTCTGGCCCCGGGCCTAAGCACACTGAATAGAAACGTTCACTCAGTCCAACTCAGCAGAAATCTTTTCTTTTTTCAATTCTCCCCTTTTCTCGGGGATACCAGTTTTTGTCAGTTCACAGTTTACTTGGTTAAACCTTGGTGGTTATGACTATTGTTAACTATGATTTTTTTTTAAAGGCAGCCCTCTTTGGAAAGATCTAAGTTTACATTTCTGTTCATTCAACAAGATCTAGCAAAACAGCGCAGTCTATTCCATTCACTTATCATCCAATAAACCCATGCTGCTTTCCACATTTTGGGAAAGAATATGTACGTGTTATTCACGGATCTTGCCTTTTTCTGTCAGAGAATTTTTGTATGGTTATTGAGCAATCAGTGTACTGGAGTTTCCTTTCCAAGTCTTTTGAGATTTAATCCCAATAGCTTCTCATAGTGCAGTTTCACTTACCAACTAAGTAAAAATAATAAATAGTGATGACAGAAATGAAATGAATAGTGATGTGTCTGGACAACTCCAAAACATTATTCATTTCATTTCCTCTTGACTGGTATTTTTACTCAGTTGATTTGAACACTACTATTTTAGTTAAATTTATTACAATATCCAGAACATGTTAGAACCATGGTGGCACCTTTTTCCACCAAGAAGAACATGAACAACTTGTTGAAAGATTTGACGTGTGCTTTGCCCTCACGTATTACTCTAGAACCACCTTTAGGGGCAGTACCTATATCTCAGTAGGTAGGGCACCAGCCATGTTACACTAAGGCAGATAGGTTCAAACCCGGCCTGGGCCTGCTAAACAACAATGACAGCTGCAACAACAACAACAAAAAAAATAGCCGGACATTAGGGCAGGTGCCCATAGTCCCAGCTACTTGGGAGGCTGAGGCAAGAGAATTGCTTGAGCCCAAGAGTTTAAGGTTGTTGTGAGCTGTGATGCCACAGCACTCTACCAAGGGTGACAAAGTGAGACTCTGTCTCAAAAAAAAAAAAAAAAAAAAGAACTGCCTTCAGTGGCAGAGACCCCGACAGATCCAGGAGAATTTCTCTGGTCAGCCTAGCTGCCCAAGACATGCCCAACCAGGCCAGGGTCTGGTTCTTAGAGGGTTCACAGAGCTTGTGATGGTAGTACCACCCAGGGGCTAGCCTAGCTTTTGTGGTAAGAGTCAAAAAATGGACAAAACTCTGAAAGACAGAGTGTATGACCTTGACTGATTACTCCAAAGGTAGAGAGGCCATCTTATAAAGTGATTAAGACCATGGGCTCTGATTTATATCTGACCAGATAGAATTGGTTTCTTATAAGACAATATAGACCTGGTTTATATCCAAGCTTTACCACTAAACAGCTCTGTGATTTTGGGCAAAGAACTTAACATCTTTGTGTCTTTTCTTTTCTTTCTTTTTTTTTTTAATTGTTGGGGCTTCATTGAGGGTATGAGAAACCAGGTTACACCGTGTGTCTGAGTCTTTTCATTTGTGGAAATGGGATCATAAAATTAGTAGCTACCCAGAAATTTGTCATAAGAGTTAAGGGAAGATATAGCTTTCATATGAAAGCTATAACCAACTATAACCCAAGAAGAAGGGGAAAGTGGAGAGGAAGGGAAGAGGAGGGAGGAGGATGGGTGGAGGGACACAACTACCGTGCATTTTACAAGGGTACATGTTAAATTTACTAAGTGAAGAGTATATGTCTTAACACAGTAACTAAGAAAATGTGGTGAGGGCTATGTTAGCCAGTTTGATGAAAATATTTCAAATGGTATGTAAAACCAGCTCATTGTACCCCAAAATTGCATTAATGTACACAGCTATGATTTAAATTAAAAAATGAGTTAAGGGAAGAAAATTGCTATGCCTGATACATTAAAGCAATCAATCAATGATAGCTAATATGAAAGCCCTACCCTACCAACATGGAAACTCAGAAGAAAGGAATTGACTATAGATTTTCCCTTAAGGTTTCTTCCTATATTAATCTCATTGATGCACTTTGCTCCATTATAAAATGTCAGTGCCAGGTGTATCCCTCCGACTCAGCACAGCAGAGTGGAAAGAGCATGGGCTTTGGAGTCTAATGCACCCAGGCTGGAATTCGACTCTCCCTCCTACAAGCTGTGTAGTCACTTCATACGTCCAGGACTCAGTTTACCCATCTGTTAAGCAAAATGGAGATCATAGCTTACAAATAGGTGTTGCTGTACAAATCAAATGAGATGTTTATGAAGTGCCAAGGCAACACCTGGCAGTGTACTAGACATGCAGGGAATTTGACTCATTGCTTATAAGAAATCTCACATCCCAGCAAGGCATCTGTTAATGTACACAAGATGACTTTTCTGGTAGTAATGCTGGGGTCAGGAAGGAAATACTCTTGGAATTGTCTTTTTTGAAATCCAAAGAAATGTAAAAATAGATCTGACACTCCTCTTTCCCTCTGGGGGTGTGGTGTCCCAACACGAGGTATTTATTACTGCGGGTCTTTACTGCTTCATCAGTTAGCAGCTCACAATGGGGGAGTCAAACGAAACCCAAGAGCATGCTGTGTTTCAGCTTGCCATCACACAGAGGGAGAAGAAGGGCTGCTTTGCTCTCCACTCTGTTTTATTGGCCCACTTGGACAGGAAAGAAGGCCCCCAACATTTTTTCTTTCTTATAGTTTCTAAAGGCAAGAATAGGGCTTTTGACTTGCTCTAGGGGGTATTTTTTCCTCTCTAACTGAAATTCAAACGAAAGAGTTTTTTGGGTTGTTTTTTGTCTTTGCTTTTTGTTTTTGTAAACCTCTCCCCATGTTCCTAGCATTGAAATGTCAGCTGCTTTTTCTGGCTGCATGTAGCAGCAGCCTGTCGTCATAGCAATGAAAGGGTATAGAGAAACTCCAGCTTCATGGCCTGCTCTGGGAAATAACTCTTAGTCTGCTCAAAAAAATCCTTCTTTAGAAATGAAGTCTCCAGTCCTGGCTTTTTTCCTTCCTATTATGCAACCAATTTAAGTCCACCAACTTCAGTAGCTAAATGTTTCCTTTAAAGATTTAGTGAATAGGTGAAAAAAAATGAACAAGAGCTCTAAAACAGTGGCCATTTTACCATGGAGTGCAGGGGAAAAACTGAGAAGGCAAAGGAAGAGAAATAGAAATGGCCTCGCTTGATAACACACGCTGCACGCGCTGCAATAAACCCGGCTTCCAAGCTCCCAGCACCTCCCCATCCTCACCATGTGCTCTAGTGGAGCAGTGGTCTGGGAGAATTCCAGGGCAGGGTGCCTGGACCCCAATCCTGGGACTCACACTTTCTGGTTTCTTTAACCTTATGTACACTGTGCCTCTGTCTTCTCATCTGTAACGGTCCTGACATTGTCACGGGCATTGAATGGCATGGTGCATGTCAGGCGTTTATTACAGTGTCTAATGAACAGCCCGGGTAAAGGTCGGCTGCTAAATGCGAGCTCCCCAGTGTCCCCCACTTGTGACGTGGGGATTAACAGCTAATTCATAAGATTGTCGCACGATTAGCTAAGACCAAGAATGTACATGTTCAATAAGCAGTGGTTATTACGGGTAGCTACAACTCTGAAAGGAATGGCATTTTCGAACTTGGAATCCCCCAGAGAGTAAATTATAATGAATAGAGCCCTCACAAACATCATCACATAAATGTCAACCACTGAATTTCTAAAGAGAAAAAAATAAATAATTAGGATTTTTCACATTTATAAAGAGGAAAGAAGATACCTCATCTTACTAACACCAGCACCAAATGTGTTAAAACATCTTTTCACTAAAATGCTTTATGTTAATCTTTCTGTTTCAGTTTCTCCAGTGTTTTCCATACAATGGTATAAATAAGTAACATTTTTATATTAAATTTCAAACAACTAATGTATTCTGTGTTCTACACTGAGAAAAATGCTAGGGACTCAGGAGGGGGTAAAACTACCCAGGGGCTGTGAGCTCTGTAATTAGGGTGTGGTCATCAATCAAATCATCACATTAGGAAAACTGGGTAGGCCTGAA